ATTCGTGAGGTCCGCTGGTTCGTTCCGTGGCTTAGTTGGTATAGAGTCTGCCACGGTAAACTAGAAGACGTCGGTTCGAATCCGACCGGATCGAAGGAATTTTTTCTGAGTGTTCGATCTTTGTATTAATAATTATAACAAACTAGTGGAGTAATTTCACAAATAATAATTGAATATCAATTCAATAAAAATTTAAAGTACTTATATTTATTGTACTACAAATGCAACACTGAAAAGGTATCTATTGCAATCTAAACTGCTAACAACTTTTAGGAGGTTTACCTGTTAGTCCGAACTTATATCATACCTATCTTATGGCTGGTTTACACGGGTTAAGAAATAGTACAAGTTTGATCATCGATGCATGATTTCTGAACATTTTAAACTATAATGTTCTAAAAAGTAAGTAAAGTAAAAGGTGCTGGTGAAATTACAGGCGTTAGGCATTACGGGACTTGATAACTTATGTCTCAGGGTGACGGGCACAGTGGCAGTGCCCCTAAGATCTTTGCAATTAAAAGCTCTGAGTGGCACTGGTACAGTTATGGATAGGCATGTCGCTTACCACCAGGTCCACGATTGGTTCGTCCCTTAGTATTATTCGTATAAAAAAAACATACATATACTTCACATCCTTTTATTGGGGAAGGCAGTGACAACAGTCTTCCACTTGTTACGGTCCTGACACACATCCTTCACCTAATCAACACGCATCAGAAATTTCATAAACGCTCGTCGATTAAGGGTTCTCTTGACCTGGTCCTTCTTTAGGACGGCCTCAATTCGGTCATGGTAAGTTCGCCTTACCAATTTGCCCGCTCTCATTCGCCTTATCTTAATTTGTTTCGGAAATCTTTTTTCGTCAAATGGCATGTACATATTAATTTTTACCTACCAGTGGTGCAGGTGTTGTTGTGGTGGTAGCCTTGCCTTTAGCCAGCAGGCCACGCTTGAGCAACCCGCGGGACGGCGCCAATCGTGCTTCACCTTCGTCCTGCGCGCGCGCGTTCGCCGGCCACGCTAAACATGCCAACAATACTATCCTGAAATCAAACGTTATTCTTTGCAGTCGCTTTTTTAATTATTTTTAAATAACGGTAAAAAACATATTTATAATATATAGGTTAAAGGGATTGCAGTAGGTAAGTTAAAAATAAGAAAATTATTAAGAAGTTTTGGAAAATAAATGAAAAAAATAATAATTTGTATTTAATTCGACTTAATTAAATTAATTTAATTCAACACTTCGTACCACATAAAATGATCATACGTCAACGTGCTTATTATTACTTGAAAATCATACAAATAATACGAACTATGTAAAACAAAGTATGTAAATATAAAATTTTATAATGCCTCCTATTTAAACATAAACAATTATGGATTAAATTAGTCCAGAATCTTTAAACCTCTCTATTAAATATTTTCGTTGTATACACCAAGGGTTCAGCTTATGATGCTAATCAAAAAAAATAATTTAAAATCGCTTCGGCTAGATATAAAATCGAGACCTCGTCTGACGACTCATGAACATTTTACTTGACCATTCATTCACAAGGTCGTGTCATTGGAATTACATTCCGATTAAAAATATACTAGAAAAAAATATGACATTTAGTGACTAAGCAACTTAACAAGCAAATTATAAATTAATGAAAAATTGTGTTTATAATTATATGATTAAATATATACTCTATATTAATGAAATACGCGAGTACATGTCATAGAATGAATGCATAAGGTACCTACTTGGTGTAACGGGCTGGTATCTGCAACTCGACGTCAAAGCGCCTATTTTGCGTGTGGTAATTAGGTAATCTTATTTATTGGAAGTGAAACAATTCGGATTTCAATAACAATAATTTATTTTTTCTAACAAACCAATATTTTGGGCAATTGACAGATCTCATTGTCACGGCTAACTGCGATGGTAAAGTCATTGTTGATGACTTATTATTAATTAGGTCGAATATTAATACAAAACAACCCTATTTTTCAGTAGTTACAAAAGTTATTAATGTAAATAATTTATTTTTAATTTACCAAAGAACATTCCAATTTTATTCATTTTTAGTACCTACTACTTACCGAAATATAGGCATGACAAGAACGTAACCCCTTTAAACTAAAGGAATCTAAATGTGCAACAACTCTTCATCAATCAACTAATAATAATCTATCTAGAGTAATAATGTGTCCATAATTGTAATAGGAACATGTGAATCTCCCGTAAGTGTCACACAATTTACAATACCAAAAATTGCCGAAGCGTGTGTCTCCATCTTATTGTGCTTGTGAGAACAAAACCTAATAAATGCCTACTAACATCCAAGCCTGCATCGCTCACGGCGCAAGCGGAAGAAAACTGACTATAGCATCCCAACATTACTTATAATTGCACCCGAATTTCCGACAACTGGGAAAAATATAAACTACGTGCGTACCTACTAGAGGGCTCCAGGGTATTGATTGCACTGCACCAGGGCGCTACAAATTTTGTTTGTTTGTTTTGTTTGTTGTTTTGTTGTTGATAAAAACAGTGTGGACCTCCTTTCTTGCACTAAGAATTATTGAATATAGAGTTTAAATGTAATTAGATCGCTAAAACAAGTTGTCTATAAAATCTTAAATCAATTTGAGGATTGATGAAAACAAAAATGTGTATGACCACCATTTAAACCATTTGGACGTTTAATTTATCTTTAACCAAGCTATGTGACAATAAAACAATAAGCAAAGATAAAAAAGAAAATCCGAATGTTTTCATCGAGGTGTAAAACAATCCACGAAGTTACCATAGTTGTCTAATTAAGAGAGTGACAGCAATATTTTCAATAAATTGTATCAAGAAGAAAAGAGAGGCAGCATACAAGAAGAAGAAATGGGCAATGACTGTAATGAATTCTGAAATGGCGAATACAGGCTTCATGAACTTTAAGTACTTAATATTTTGGATCAATTTCAAATGTGATTGGAGGATGTCTAAGTTTAGATAGAAGTAAACATTGATGCTCTACATAAAGTACAATAGTTTTACAATTGTTATTGTTGTTGCATTGTGGTAATCCTGTGATGATGACTGCGATTACCTAATTAAATTCTTTTAATTATTCTGATGTGCATGAAATTCTTCAAGGTGATTCGTCAAGATCAACAACATTAAAGATAAGATAAGAAGTGAGGTATTTATTGTACATGGTATATTGGTATTGAAAAAATCAATTAAGGGAGTAAGTTAAAACTTGCCTTTTACAAAATGAAACTATGTTTAAATCAAGTTTAAGGTAAAATGTCTTAAATACGATTAAACGCCATATTTTCTAAGAGATCAAAAATTATTATGATCATTGAATTAAAATTTTGTCGTAAATTTACGAAAAACAAAGGTTGAAATCAAGTATAAATTGCACAAATAAAGAAATTTAAATATTTCTGAACATAAAATACAATAGTCGACATTTACTTTTAGTTTTTTTCAGCCGGTGTATATATATATATATAGGAAATTCTATTAAGTTACCGACAACAAATTTATTAAATATGTATTATATGTAATAGTAAAATATGACGTAATTTGTGAAATGGGCATTTCTAGTAAATAGTATTATTATGAGATATATAGGAACTCACTTTGGTTATGTTTAAGCTGAAGCAGAATTCTCCTTCACAGAATTATCCTTTATATTATTTGTATAAAGCTGATGAATATTTTATAAAGTTACCTAAATTAGTATGTAAGGAATAATACATTAATATTGCTTAAACACGCAAATATACAATTTAGGTGACCAACTTTTTTATTGTTATTTTAAAAACAAGTATTATACCTTACTTATCACTAGAGATTATATTGTCCTTTAGGAACATTTGGATTTTAGTGAAGAATTAATACTTTTAATTTTTTTTATTATTACGACGTTTTACCATCGCGATTTACATATATTTATCGCGGATCAGCTCTCCTCAGAGAAATCTAAATTTAGATTTCTGTAACTGTCCTAGTTTGTTATAATAATAAATGATATTATTAATAATATATTAATTTTATTACAATAGTCGAACACAAAAGGTTTCGGAATGGTTATGTCGTGCCATCCGTTTTTATTTTAAATGCATAAATAAATTACTAACTCACTAATTTTAAGACAAATTGTTACAAACTACTATGGATGATGCCTGAAATAAAAAATATTTTATTTATATTTTTATATATTTAACAATTTTACAACTTTTACAAATAAACTGCTATTTCTGGCTATAATCTAAGATCATCAAGTAAGAGCTAGGCTGTCTAAATCTTTAATCAGTGACCTCAAAACCTTTAACATCTATTACGCGAAATATTCGCACACAAAGAGTAGCTAGTTATAAAGTTTCAAAATACCGACTTAGTATGGGTTCGGCGTCGCCTTTTACATGAGTTATATCATGCAGTGTATATTTACTTGTAGTAATGTACTGTTACGTTAATCAAAATTATATAACTGAAAGTGAATTATGAATCATAGAAAAGAAACATTTAAGTTTTAAGTTCAAAGGGCAAAGCAAGCCATACCAAGCTATTGCCATCAAAATGTGGGTCAAATAGGCTTAGCGATAAATGCCAAACTTATGGCATGCGAGGTTGGGTGAATGTCGAGTGCAGATTATCGGGATCCCAATACGTGAGAGTCACCCTCAGTGTACTCGATAACCTACAAAGGTCAACTTGTAGCGTTATAGATTGTAGAATAACTGGTCCCAATGCAGGGTCGGACGTCAATATTGTCAACACCGTTCAATTCCGCATCCGCTTCCGACTAGACGATGTTAAGGTTCCCTTAACGCTTTCTCTGTTTATATAATTCATGACGGGTGCGCATAAATCGTGATGCCTGAAGTGATGACACCAACGCGTGATAGTGAATACATTGTGTTTCTTTATCGGTATATACGATAGAGATGCTCAAAAGACATGCTGACTAATTTGTCAAGCTTTATTGCTATGCTCACTTACATCGAAAGGCGGTGAAACGAAAGCTATCAAATTACCCAAAGCGGTTATTGTTTCGCATCATTGTTAATTTGTATTCTTGTCGTAAATTGACGTGTAAAATGTAGTTTCTGATTGGTCACAAATTTGATAATATTTCCAGTCACGTCTGATGGAAAAAGTGCAGCTTTCTATAAAACTATAGCTCTGTAGTGCCTTCGTGGGTGAGTGATCTGAATGTGTAATTGTAACCTCAAAGTGTGCGTCAAGGCCAGTTGTACAAAAACAAAAAGTGACAAGAACTGTGTTGACCTCGCTATGCAATGCGGTAGCAGGTGCAGCACCGTACACCGTATGTTTGTCGTCACTGTTTGCACCCTCAGAGCGTGAGTCCATAGCAGCTCTACCAACTATGACGAAATCACGCACTTTTAAAGATTCAACTACTTTGTCATATGTACGTAAAATACCGACATTGTTTAAATAAAGTATTTCCTATGATCACTCTAAATTCAAAAATGTTTCTCCATAGTCACGAAAGGTGCCTAGTTTATATATGTGAAAATGATCTGCAATCGGTACAACCCTGATGAATGAGATTTAGTTCTTGAGTCGAATACACATTTTTGTCGCCATTAGATGCATTATAGAATCCTTATCGGTGACGATGTCCAGGTTGGGTTTATACAATACAGTACAGTATAGTGCAAACAAGATCTAAACATAAGTTGAAATAGTGAAGACCCCTGCCTTATAAGCAAATGTCAATCGTCTGGTTATGCAACAATGTTTTATTACCAAATGTCTGCATGCTCGCTGTAATGCCGGAGTTGGGTAAGTGGTAGGTATTTTTGAGCGCATCTTCAGCTAGTCACGCCTCTGACGTGCATGCGCATAGAGAATTCTATCACGATTTTATTCATCCTCACATTCCAACTCAGGATTGATACAGTCGCGCACTATCACAGTCTTCAGTACTCGAAGCCACTTTGCATATTAAAATGATTACAAGAAAATTCATAACTTCAAAGTAACGAAATTAACAAGGATTATGTTAGATTGTTTAAATTGCAACAGAATTTAATACATAATCTGTTTTAATTGAGGCCAGCCAGTGGAAGTGCTTGCATTCATTATCGCTAGTTATTTAGCAAAAGTTGCAAAATCCAGATAAACACCGGCAAAAACCTTGTTTCCATTTTCTTGAAAATACTTTTGGCAGTCTTCCGGCTGTGCAATTATCTCAGACGTTGCTCAAAAAAGGATAAATCGTACGTCTAAAGGTTAACCAAAACAAACGCTGATAAAAATGATTAACCTGCCTATTAATTACGAACCTTTACACTATTATGCTTAGTGCTAAAGAACAAACCTCTCTATTTAACTCTAAATGAAGTAAACAATTTCTCTTCCTAAAAACATTTACCTACGCTCTCTACTACAACTATGTGCTTAGAATCAGAAAGCATTAGAATCTTCAACAGTTGTATTCAAGTTAACTTTATATTAAGTATTATTGCATTGGTACACTAATAAGTAAATCTGCTTTTAATTTAGTAGAGGTAAATCCCATATTATAAATACTTAATTTTATTGGTATTATTCTTTATTTTGTTGATATCGTCAACCATCGTCCATCGTCCATAACCCCGTTTTTGCCCCAAAAATTGTTCCTATTCTATGAGAATTTTGTCAAGTGAAATCGGTTATATGTGTGGAATATAAGGAACCTATTTGCATATAAAAGTTTTTGGCTGAATGTATTCCAACGTAGGTAACTGTTTTCTACTAAACACCAAGAAATACCTTTTTTTTAAAAGCTATGAATTATATTATTTTAATGATATAATATTTTAAGCTCGAGTATGAGTTTTTTATTCGTGCAAATGAAGCGCTAAAATCGTACTCCAGTAGCATTATGCATGACAAATTCACGCGAATACTTTTGTATGAAAACAAGACCGTGACATTTCATCTTAACATAACATGAATTCTGGTTGATCGTAATTATGTTTCCATGAGGAACAAATGTAGCTAATATTACATGACTAACAAGTAATAATGCTTTATTTCCATGGCACACCCTAAATGAAACTCGGGAATGTGGGCGAAAACAATGAAAATCTAGGCTTTTATCTGCGAGAATACTCGTACATCCTACATAATATAATATTGCCTAATCGTAGGTCGCCTTACTTTAGCCTTCCTTTCAACATGGGACCAACTCACTCGAACAACCGGTTTTTTGGTTTCGCCCAATTAATTTGAAAATTAATTGGTTTGTTATAATACCGGGTCAGACTGCCGCAGTCTTTATAATGAGGTTTCGAAGCCAAGAATTATGAAACGATGGAATCAGCAGCATTTTTCTAGTAGTGCATTATCTCGCAGCGATACTGTCACACTCGTTTAAGTACCTGTTTTGTTTTAATAACTGTATGATATATAAAGAATGAAATAAAAGTGGTCAGTTGATAATTCTTCTAACAATACGACGAGCCAATTTCAGTTTTGTATAATGAATAATCTTAGTACAAATTGCAATAGCCCTATTAATATTGTTGATGACCGAAAATTACAGCCGAGATAGAAGAGGCTGCAAGCGCTCTGATGGGTAGTTCATCCGTCGTTTTACTAGTGTAATTAATTTGTTTTGAGAATGAATTCTGCGTTAACTCGAATATCCACCACTCGAATATCGAATATAAACCGCAAAATCAGTGAGCTTATGGGCTCTGGTTCTTAGTTCATACTCAATATTACTAACGCTATTACAACGTATGTATTACGGGTAGGTATTATCTAAAACACATAGAAGAAAAATTAAATTGAGTCATCGTACTTTCTTTATAAAATTTCGCAATTTTTTTTATTTGTAATAAAAACGAGTTTTAACGTTAACGCTGCGACACATAAAATGAACCTAATGGAGTGCAGCGGCGTCAGAAGCCGCATGAAACACGACGTAATCATGAAACACGCTTGACGACGTTGCCGCGAAGCTAATTACAAAATAGACCGCACTGGAGGTGTTAGCGGTCCCCCTACAACTCTCTTACTAGACTCACAAATCCATACCCAACATCTATAGTTTCACGGTGCATTAGAAAGGCGTAAACTTTTTATATTATGGTGCACACATACTTTATGTTAGTGGTGTCTAGTACATGTACCGCAACATTTCGTAAGTGTATTAGGTAATGAATAAATGTGGTTAAAGCTTCGAAACTATATCACTAATGTGATGATGTGTGAATTTTTAGATTAAGGGTGATTGAGTTGGACCGATAAAATTCCACGAAATGCAAATTTTAAAGATCCTTTTAATAAACATCGCAAATGCAATCGCACAGCAATTAAGGTACTTGAATTGATCCCAATGACCCAAGCAAAGTAAAAAGATATTGTTTAAGTGTACATAATTAGAAAAAAATTACTGGCAAGATATCGAAGCCTAACTTTGGTAACGGGTGATAAAGATAGTATGTACATGTACTCACAGGGGTATGATCCTCATGGTTGTCGTGCGGAGCCGTCGGTGTCGCAAGAGGCACGGGTATGTCCTTTCTCCGCGGAGCGGCAGTGTGCAGGTCCAAAGCGCACGGAGGCCACACTTGATCTGTCGTACCCAGCACGAATACTCCGGTATACTCCAACTGGTACCGGCACAATGGTCCGCACTAATGCCGTCACCGCCGCTGCCCCTAGCCTGATTTATATTCGGAGTGGCGCTCGCGCACAGGCGTGTCGAACATTGTCCACATAGCAATATTTGTTGACACTTAAGTAGAGTAAATCCTGCTACGATGCCTCCACTACTTCCATGACCAGGTTATTAAACATTTTGGAAACTACTGCATTGGCAATGTGAAAAAGTATGTTTTACATTTTTCGTAACCCTTAACATATTTCAGAATAGTGACTTTCCTCAGTTAGTAGTAGTGATGTCGGCTACTTTCATCGGGTCAGAGGTGACGAGGGACCTCTGCGAGAGATTAAGTAACGACTAAATAAAAACGACGACGACTTCGACTTGGAGCCTAACACGCAACTTATTATTATAATATTAATATCTCAAAACTCTTACATAACTACGAAATCATAGAAATTTAGAAAAATGCTTGAAGCGAACCTTAGAGGAAAACATTGATTTTCATTGAATGAAGTCGAATTTCATGCTCTTTACCATAAACTTTTTACCATATTCATAATGCTATTAAAATTTAAATGACAGCTGGTAGTTCCTTGATCCATAATTATTAGTACATAACTACCAAAATCTATCCTTGACATGTCGATTTTATCTTAATTTGTTATACAATAATTTAGAGTTATTGATGTTTATTCAAAATTACAAATCCACGTAAAGTGAGGAAGAATGTGAAATTCTGGGTTAAGATGAAATTTGTTAAAAAACAGAAACACGAGCACGCGTCCTAATCACGGCAATAAAAGAAAATGTAAACGCTTTCAATAAGAAGCACAGTCTATAGAATTACTTTCTTTAGTAATGATTAAGGTACTAAATACTTTAAGAATGCCTTAAAATTAGGTATTAACTATTTTTTATGTTCCTTATGGACGTCAAAGATTAAAAACGTTAATGGACGTTTATCCATATCAGGGCTATCCATTTTTAGACGTGTTTCTATTTTCACGCAGTATGGCACACGGAGGGAAAGCTACTTTAAATATAGTAGACAGAAAATTGTACTTAAAAAAGACTTCATTTTGATTTTAAAAACAGTTCGAACTGCATTCAAAGATTTTTAAATAATCGCCTGTCTGTAGCTCAAAGCGGTTACCTTAATCTTGAGCCAAATTAAAACTAATGAGACAAAGATATTAGTTACGATGTTGACACTAATTGACGTAGTATTTACTGTAATTTTGTAATCACATATTTTTACAAACAAGATCACAGTTACCAAATTAACTAAATAGTGCCCAGAAACCGCATTTCGCGAGAGGGCGTGCCTAAAACGGATACTAGTAATGGTCAAATCTGACACGTAAAGTCCTGCGGAAAATAATAATTGTGGAAGATAATATTAAATGCAATGCGAAATGTGATAGAAACTTTAAATTTGGATACATAGTTATCAACAAACAATCTTCTCGTACAAAAACATCAACACAGCCTGCATCTAACTGCTTCCCTGACCGAACGGTTATCATGCTGGATTGCCCCTCTGAGGTGCAGGTTTCGATTCCCGGACCGGGATAAATATTTGTATGGCATATATTTATTTATCTCGTGAGTTTGGGAGTAAGCCTATGCGTGTGTCTATGGCACCCACGATACAGGGTTTCCCTAGTGCGTGGCTATGAGTGTGTGTAAAAAAAACAGAACTTATACAACAACATTTGATATTTTTTTAGATTTTTAAATGCCTTATTTTTTGCATTTTTTTATAGCTCACGCCATTGACACCTCGTCTCACGATGTCTGTGGTGTTGTCTTTCGTAAAATTGTTCATCATCTATAAGAAACAACTTTACTATTTATACATTTCATATTCATATAGCGGCTAGGTAACCGCTTTATCTGAGCCGCTTTGCCTTTTTGACCATTTTATTTTAAAACTTAATTCAAACCTACAAATACAACTCTATACCTTCAAACAAATATTACATAAACACTGCCAGATAATATATATGTAAAAAAGTATAATCTGTAAAATAATATATATAGGTAAGGTTTGATCAAAACGAAATGAAGTTATGTCGCATTTTTTAAACGGAATTAATTCAAAATTTTCGGCACAAGATTGTGCGCTCGAGTTCCTACGGTGTCAAGCGACGCCCCGCTCGAGCATAACAATTGAAATCACCAAGTAATCGAGCAAAGCCGCTTTGCGATCTATTGCCGCTTTGAGCTCACTTCCCCTGGGTGCAAGTATGTGCCAGAAGATTGAATAATAGCGGGGCGCTAGTGGTGCGTTAATCCCGTTTATGTAGATTCATTAAAAATTATAGTTTAGATAACCAGTAGATAGTATAGATACATTAATTGGATTTTTTGAAACCCGTTCCAAACCTCTTACACGAACTGCATCGGGGCTGTTCACAACTCCTAGCCATATTCCAAAACGTCATCACATCATATTAGAGTTTTTAATATTTGATATTTGATTAAGTAATCAAGTAGTGCAAAGAAAAATTCACCAATTTAGCTCTATGGTGTTAAATCTTTGCCTTTTCCTTAACAGAAAGAATTTAAAAAACAACATGACATTGAAAAATGTGGCCGCAGCTTAGACTATGGAAACTTTTTTCCATCCTCTAAGGGCCGCAGGAATACTCTTATTTCAGCGAGGACAGAAAACATTCTTGTAATTTTAAAACGGCGTATCGACTGAATGTAATTTTATAGTGAGTAGAGTGTAAAGTCATCTAAACCCTAACTTTTCTGGAGCATAAGCAGATCTATGTTTGTTGCTGTTGTTTTTGGGATTGAACAATGATGACGTTCGGAATAAGCTTATTACAACAGAGAGTATACAAACACCCTTGCAACTTTAAAACGGTACCCACAGTAAATCTACTTTTTTGCAACTAGAATTGACTACGTCACAACTTATTCTTATTCTTGACTAACCTGTGAAATTTAGAAAACTCGATGATGGTGATACTGATAGTCACGTGTCGCAATTGCCCCGAGTGCTTGTACAGCTGAAATGTAGCCAGCATGCAGTAAGTAGGTGTGCAGCGCTGAGGGTGTCGAAACTGTATACAAACTGTTATATAATATTTAGATATCGTAGTTGTGATGCAGTCGAAATAACTGCGTCCTTGGCCGAACGGTTATCATGCTGGCCTGTCACGCAGAGGTCCCGGGTTCGATTCCCGTGCCGGGAGAAATATTTGTAGGACCTACATTTGTATTCCTCGTGAGTTTTGGTGTAATTTATGGTTGTCTGTGTGTGTCCATGCTACCCGCGATACAGGGTTTCCCTAGTGCGGGGCTATGAGTGTGTGCGTTTATAAATAAAAACAAAATACAAAAACTAAAATTCGTGTGCCTTACGGACTTATCTTACATTTTCCTTGTACCGGTCATAACACCGTACCAAAAAAGGTAACCTTCAAAGAACCCTGTATGCTTTTGAAATACAATAAGTATATTTGAATAACAACCACCCGCTGTGGGTAGTAATGACTCCAACACAAACAAGCAAACAAAATTTTAAGTCCATATATTTAGGTATACACCTAAATGAATGTCGTGATTATTATTTATTTCTCCCTGTCATGCCGTCCTTATTTATTGGGGATATATACAAATATTTATATTCTGTATTGTCACCACCCTACTTTGTTGAGATCACATCGAGATGTAATAACACGCACATACCCGTAGCCTAGGGAAACCCTGTATTGCGGGTATCATGGACACACACATATAAATTACACTCAATCTCACGAGGAATACAAATATAGGCCTTACAAATATTTCTCCCGGCTAGTGTTGCCCAAAAGTAGTCTTGGTCTTGGTCTTGCAGATTTGCAAGAGCGAGACCAAGACCACTTAATTGAAGCAAGACCAAGACCAAGAGTGACCCTGCAAGATTTGTGCAAGAACAAGACCGAGTCTGCGAGAGTCTTGCGGTCTCTCAATTACGTCAAACGAGTGTTATGTCCTTACGAATTGTAGGTATGCCTAAAATTATAACCTACCAATATTGTCGTAAAATTGAAACTGTAATCGAGTACATATAGTAAACAGTGTTTGCAGTCAATATGATGCTTTATCTCTTTTATGCGAAAGAGCGCTAAATATTTGTTAATTTGCCGACAAAGACACCGCGCTCCGCGCCGCGCTTATAAGACGGTACGGCACGTGTCGCGCGCGGCACCTTTGACATCGCTCAAAGCGACCGCATTTTTGTAAAAAGACGCCGAAATTCCAAAGAGTAAAATTAATTCAGAGGCGCTCGGATTGTAGTCACACATCTTGGTTTGGTCATCGCGAAGGATCGATGGGTTATATTATTATAATTTACTGTAGTTGTAATAATCATAAATATTATTATAGTGCTCTTATATTGGACTGTATGAATATTAAGTATACAGTTCATAGCACAAAACAAAACTACGTGTTATATGCGCTATTACTACTACTTATTTTATTTAATAACTTTTGTACATAAACAAATTATTTCATTGATTGAATACCAATTTCTACAGAATTCCATGTAAAAGGTTTACTACCTACTGTTTACTGTACTTGTGTATATTTTCAATCAAAAGAGGCATACATTACACGTAATGATTTATGTACATTTTGGAAAAGTGCCTTGTATTGTTACGTAGGTACAACAACTTGCAAAAAAAAAATCTCTTGTTTTTAATCTTCAAATGAATCATTATTTTTATCAAAGGTGCCGAACTTTTCTTTACCAATTTTTCGGCATGTGCCTATAAATAGGAAATTTTATATGAAATTTTTTGTTTATTTGCAATTAAGCTTCGTTACGAATCGGACCAGTAATTATTTTTGACATGAGCGACGAAGATTCTAGTCAGAGTAGTGAGAGTTGTGTTGCATCTAGGTGCTCTAAAAGCAAATTTGATGAGTATTTCGAAATAATTCTTGAATCTGAAATGGCTCTTGCAAGTTGTACCCAATTTCTAAAAAGAAAAAAGTTGAAATAATAATGAAAATCAGAAACACTTCGGGTTTAAGGAAGCATCTACTGTCTTGTTACGAAAAGGAATCGCAAAAACTTATACCTATAAGAAAACCGACAACAATTAGAGATATTTCAAGTTTTTTTAATACCACTGGAAGAAGTGAACAGGTAAGATAATATTTAACATAACACATCCTTAATATTTTTTATAATTTACATACTTATAGTTAGTGTCAATCGTTTTTTCATGAGAATTAAACAAACCGATTAGATTGGAATTCTTAAAACGATTTCTCCAGGCTATACCTGACAAAGTTTGAGGAAATTAAAACTCAGTAAATATCAAACTTTTAGTAAGAAAATAGCTTTCTCTAGTTTCTAACCAATTTATTATTTTTGCGAAATGCACTTACTAAGGTACAATTTTAAAAAGCGAGATATGTTGTGTGTTAAATTAGAATTTAAATTACTTTTATAGGTACTAATCCAAGTCTTGTTTTTTGTTTGTGTTTTTGGCGGCAATATTTTTTAAATAGAAACTTGTAAAAATAATCTTGTCACCAAAATTCAGGTACGTACTTATTTATTGAGTTAAGTTAGTAGGGCACATAATAAGATTGGTAGAAAAGTTTTGACAAGTTTGGCGGTCACCTTAACATGTTTTTTGCCTATTGAAGTTCTGGGTTTGATTACCGGTCAAGACAATTTTTTGTTTGTTTAATATAGTTAAAAATTCAATGTAATTAGTAGGTTCGTAAGTAGGTAGTGTTTGTAAAATGTTATATTAAGTATTAACACGTTTTGTTATCTTGTTTCAGTGAGTATCGGAAAGCCGTAGTGATTTTATGACAGTTACAGTTGACTGGATTGCCAAGAAATATCTTCCCTTCTCGTTTTTCGATGACGAAGATACACAAAAATATTTTCAAATAATATGCCCAAATTTGGTATTTCCTAAGAGATCGACAGTTCGAAGGATGGTTCAAGAGCGGTTTGAAGTACTGCATACGCGTGTTAAGAGTAGACTACAAAAATACTCATGTAAAATGTCATTCACTATTGATGGATGGACGTCAATTGCTGGTAGGATTTACTATGGGGTCACTATTCATTATATAGATAATGAATGGAAGTTTCGATCTCTAGTCCTGGATTTTATTCCATCGAGTGGTGGACATACAGGGATGGATATTGCAAGGATTTTCCACAAATGTCTATTGGAATATACCTTAGCTGATAAAATTCAGGGTATCACAGTCGAGAACGCAACTGCAAATACCAAATTGATGTATGAACTTGGAAAACTACTGCCACATTTTGATTCGGATAATCAACATTTTCGATGCATTGCTCACATCTTGAACCTGGGCGTACAAGATTTATTGAATAACTTAGCGTTAAATATTGAAACTTACCGTCAAGAACAAGAACAGCAGTGTGAAGACGAAGACGAGCAAGTTGAAGAATATGTGCCAAATATTTCTGACTCAAGTACGGCTATTACAAAATTACGCAGTATTTGTAGTAAAATAAAAAGAAGTGAGATGTTGAAGAGGAAGTTCCAGTCGGCTTGTGAAACAGCTGGTGAGCCAACAAATGTGAGTCTCATACTGAACTGTCCAACAAGATGGAATTCCACACATGATATTATTGGATTATGTTTAAAACTAAAACCTGGCATTAACATATTATGCACTTCTGTGTCTGATTTGAGTAATTTTGTAATATCAGAAATTGATTGGAAAATACTCGAAAAAATATATAAGTTTTTGATAAACTTTAAACTTCTAACAACGAAACTTGGTGGAGAAAAATATGTAACATTACCGCTAGTGATTGTGTCGTTCAATCTTCTGCTTGATAAAATTGAAGCTATGATAAAACAATTAGACGACAAACCTAATCGAACCGAAGTAGATGAGAGGCTCATTTTGGGTTTCCAAGCCGCCCAAAATAAAATGCTTAAGCATTATAGGATGATCAACTGGATTTACTGTACCACCTTCATTTTAGATCCAAGGCACAAATCTCAGACTTTCGAAATGACACTATGGGGACAACAACTAAAATCTGAAAGCCTGCGTAAATTTGAAGAACTTTACAAGGAATATAAAAACCTACATGCAGTGCCTGGATCTCCAGGATTACCAAGACATGACAATGAAGTATGTGAATATGATGAAGACGAAGACGTAATCGATTTTAATAAATTGTATGCATGCCCCTCTACATCATCTGGATCTGGTATTCAACGCTTCAATAACAATGAGTTCGAGGATTATCTATATAAACCGAGGGCCGCAAGTTCGGAAGACATCCTACAGTGGTGAAGGACGCATGAATCGGAGTATCCGATTATATCCAAGATGGCCCGGGATTTTCTTTCAATACCGGCAACTTCAGTGCCTGCTGAGAGATTATTCTCTAAAGCCTCTTTAGTTATTAGAAAACATAGAAATAGGTTAAGTGACGAGTCAGCCAGATGGTTACTTTGTATAAATAGTTGGTCGAACGAAATAATATAATTTTCATTCAAATAAATAATTAATAAAGCAAAAGATTCGTTTTTATGCTGTATTTTTACCCCAGACCTTCATTGTAGATAAACCTGCGGATTACGATACCCGCACCCATATATTTTCATTTTTACGAGTTATAAGTAACAATAGCTAATTGCAAGACTTGCAAGACTTGCGAGACTCTTGCAGCAAGACCGAAACCAAGATCAAGATTGAGTGTGCAATACCAAGACCAAGACCAATACCAGGTTTACCGACGCAAGACCAAGACCAAGACTGGGGTTAGTCTCGTCTTGGTCTTGCTTTGGGCAACACTACTCCCGGCACGGGAATGGAACCCGGGACCTCAGCGTGCCAGGCCAGCGTGGTAACCGTTTGGCCACGGAGGCAGTTCTTTCGACCGCATCACAACTACGGTATCTAAATATTATATAACAGTTTGAATACAGTTTCGGTACCCTCAGTGCTGCACACCTACTTACTGCATGCTGGTTACATTTCAGCTGTACAAGCACTCGGGGCAATTGCGACACGTGACTATGAGTATCACCATCATCGAGTTTTCTAAATGTCACATTAGTCAGGAATAAGAATAAGTTGTGATGTAGTAAATTCTAGTTGCAAAAAAGTAGATTTAGTGTGGTTACCGTTTTAATGTTACAAGGGTGTTTGTCAGTCCGGTAACCGTTCGGCCACGTAGTCAGTTGTGTTGTTGTAGGCAGTAATTGTTATTCCTAGTATTGTTACAATGTATATTTGCACAATTTTCAAAGTTTGCTTCGCACGCCTGTAATAATGTAGTACCCGGCGTTTTCGTGCCAAACGCGGAGACATCCTAAAAGCTTTGGATCTCGTTTCCTTCTAAACTACCATTGATACATACGTATCCATGTGGGGCGTAAATTACGTCCGAAACAGTTGTAAAAATACCCATTGCCTCAATTGCAAATCTTGAAAGAGCTTGTTAAAATAAATGTACCTAGTTGATTAGACATGATCAGGGAATGTTCAAAATGAAAATAGGATTCTTACGCTGCGGCTCGGAGTCATGTCCATTACCCATCTCATCTTCAAATCCTGGTTACATCTAAGAAACCCATAAACCTACAGGGTCTGTGAAACTCGTATTCGTTCCACTGTTTGTCACCGGTCGCATATGCAATTTCGGGTCAAACTACAAAAATACATTAATTTTCCTGCTGCAGGGGCACTTATCCGTAGCAGTTGTTTCTTGGTGAGCAGCTCTTGAAAATAAAGTTCGTTTTCATTTTAAAGATAAGTGTTCATATAATGTTATTTGCAATTGAGTTATGATATAAAATTTTATGAAAAAGTGGTTGACTGTTGTACTGGTATATTCCTCAGAAACATAATGATAAAAAAATCTTTATGGATATTTACATAAGATACTTGTTGTGAGTACACGTACCGATTATTAAAAAAAACAAACGGTTGCAATATGCACAATTTTTTAACCATAAATTTTCAGACATCAAGGCATAGAGTTAAATCGATCGGAAATACTTCCTGTACCTACTTATTTCGTTTTGACCGTCACTTCCGTGGTACCTTGTATAAGACTTTTATATTAAATAAATTCAAACTAGATACAAACGAAGGACCATATTGAGTAATTAATATAACAAGTTTTCTCGTATGTAATGTGATGAGATGTAGTGTCACATACAAATTATTGCCGTCATAATCTGCTATCCGTTTTTACATATAACATCCACACTGACAGATGTGCCTTAACAGTGACGAGAATCACGATAATTTGAAGTCTAACTACTTAATAAATTTATGCCACAGTTTGGTTATTTTGCAAGCCAGAACGCAAAACCAGATTGTTCCTATTGATTGGGTAAGTAATTAAACAATCGCAGAGGAAGTGGAAATATAAGATCTTATAAAATAGGATGTTCCTTGACAGGTTGGAGGTGCCCACCTTATGTGTGCAAATAGTGTATAGTGAGACAGTTCCTAAAAACCGTGCGAAGCAGGGGACCTGCGCACAGTATGGAGTGATTTAATTTAATTTTAGGGTCTTAGGTCTATTTTAGGGTTTCAGGGTTTGAAAATCGGTGCAGGGAACGCATTACGTTTTCGAGCAAATACTGAGTAATTGACCTATTTGGTACCCCGGCTACCAGGTTAAGTAGGTCCGGCAAAAGTTTTAGAATTATTCTTTCTGTTTGGAGACTTTACTACTTTTTGAATCTTATGTGTTGCGTCCGATTTTTGTTATTTAATGTTATCATTTCCTTTATAATATTTATACAAGTGTTAATGCTTCGACTCATTGCATTCTGGAAAATCGTACACAAGTACCTAAGTGAGAATTTTCACAACTTGAACTTGCGTTTATGCCGCAGAATTTATTTTTAAAGCATGTTCATTTTAACCATGAGCACCATTAAATAAAACTGTACCTACAAAGTCCGTCATTTGTAGAACTACATTTGTTGAGAATACATAACTCTATTTATACCTACTCTGCAACCTATCGCAGATATAGTTACATAATCTTATAGAAGAGAATTTAGTTATGTAGGTATATTTTTTGTTTTATCAACCTATTCGTAACCGTAAGTACCTACGTTTCAAAATTCCGCACATTACTGCTAACATATATTTTTTTAAATAGCTATGACCGATTTATTCGTTATAAAATTATTGCCTCACTATTTAGGAGTTTTAACCCTAAACAAACGCGAGCCTCCATGCCTTATACTAGCCTTTCCCAAAGTAGGCTATAAAAAAATGACCCAGAAAAAGAATGGGGGCGCTGCAGGCCCAAAGGGGGGTAGGAGACCCAGAAAAAGAATGGGGACGTTGTGCAGAGGCTTAGGGGCAGATTTGTAATTTCGTCTAGGAAGACTCTATCCAGAACCCTACTCAATACTCAAGTCAGGACTTGAGTATTGCAGTAAGCACTAAAAATCATACACAAGTCCTTGCCATTAGAGTCGTATTTCCAGTGCTTGAAATCATACTCAAGTCTGCTCAAATCCCGACTTGAGCATTGAGTAGAGTTTTGGAATACGACTCTTAGACACCGACTGAACTCTCGACTTTCGACTACAACTTGTGAACATCAACTAATATTAATTAAGAGATTACTCAAACTAACTCGGTTCGATATTTCTCTCCGTGTAGTTCATATATCTGTCCTATTTTATTGAGTAAATAAAATAAAAATCATGTCAATCGGCCGCTCCGTTTCGAAATGTAAGTAGACGTTAACAAACAAATAAAAAGGCAACGGATACAGTTTCATATTTTAATTGTTATTAGTATTCCTAGACAGGTAATTTTAGTAGTAGATAATAGACTGCGAGCAATCATGTTTTAACAAGTTCTTGTTAAATAACCCGATTTATGCACTCCTGTATCAATCGGCTGGTTAGTAGAATACTTGTTCTTACTTTTTGAGTACGATTGAGCGTTGAATGAGATAAACGAGTTTATGCATGTTTGTCTTATACCTGTCGGTGCGTGCTACTTATGCAATTCTATATAAACAACGTAATATTTATTTTATTTTCATATGGGGTTTCGCGCGTAATAGATAAGCAGTACTTAAGTTCAACACTTACTGAAGTAAAAAAAGAGACGGCAATACTGAGCAGAATATATTAAATTCGGATTCATTATAAATCGCCACAAACCCATCGTCGCCTTTGTGCCTTCTACGTCTAAAACATTTTCGAATGAAGCAATGAAGCCTTCAAGACTGCAAAATCATTTGAATAAACTGCATCTAGACAAGAATGTAGCATATTTTCAAGACCTGGAGAAGAAGCATAATACTCAGCCGAGTGTAGCAAAACTCTTTTCGGCGACTGCTAAGCAAGATGACGACGGACTTCGAACTTCGTACATTATCTCATTGTTAATTACTCATTAAAGCAAACCACACCACATCGTAGAAGAGTTAATTTTGCCAGCAATAAAGGAAGTAATAACTACTGTGCTTCATAAACCGGCCGCAGATATTATCCGAAAAATTCCTTTGAGTAATAATTCTGTGCAAAGACGAATTGATGAAATGGCTGAAAACATTGTAGAATCATTGTGCAATCATCTGACGACTAATCAATTCTCCAATTCAGCTCGATGAGTCCACTTTCCAATTAATGAAGCATTGTTGCTGTCTTATGTGAGGCTTATTAAAGATGAGAAAATATGTGAAGAACTATTGTTTGATAGAAATTAAAGACCGATACAAAAGGCGAAACCATATTCAATACATTGGAAAAGTTTTGTGATGAGAAAGAGATTCCCTTGAAAAATATTATTTCAGTTGCTACGGATGGCGCTCCGGCTAACACGGGGTGCCATAAAGGCTTCTTAGCGTACTTAAAAAAGAAAATTCTAGATGTCCTTGCTGTACATTGCGTTATTCATAGCCAACATTTGGTTGCTAGAAATTTTAGTGAACGACTATTTCAATCACTGCAATATGTCATAGAAGCAGGCAATAGAATCCCTAACAGCTCTTTGAATGATAGATTATGTCATCAGCTTTGTTTTAGTAATGACGAAGATTTTAACCGTTTGTTGTTTCATACTGAAGTTCGTTGGCTATCAAGAGGCAATTGTCTGACTCGATTTTACAACCTGTTTGACTCTGTGATAGAGTTCTTGGAAACTAAAGGTACAGAATTGCGCAACAAGCTCATTACATCAAATAATGATGTAGCTTACACGACACCTGTATAAATTGTTCAACGACATGAATCTCCAACTGCAAGGCGATGAACTAAATTTAATTAAAACAAAAAATGTCGTTGCTGCTTTCGCAGCCAAACTGCTTCTACACAAAAAGAATATGGCCAGACGTGAGTTTCACAATTTTCCGAATTTATCAGTATCCTGCAGTAGATAACGACGACTTGTATGCCTACTGCCAACATTTGGAAAACCTCCACATTGACTTCACCGAACGATACCTTTGAACTTGGAAATACCAGACTGAGTGTTGGATCCGTTTTCAAATGTCAACACAGCAATATCACCTCAGCTGGAAGAAGAATTTAGAGAATTGACAACGAACGAGGAAAAAAAGCAAGTTAAAAAATGGCTACAAAAACCGATTCCGCAATTGTACCCTGGATTGTGGTTAAGCGTTCAACGATTCTTGATAGCATTCCCATCGTCATATTTGTGTTCACGTGGTTTTAGTGCTGTGACAACGCTGCTTACTAAAAAGAGAAATCGTTTGCGTGTTACCGAACATGGTGACTTGCGACTGTTTTTGAGTAAATTGGAACCTGATATCCACAAACTTATTAAACAGCATCAGATTCATCCTTCACATTAGTTTTTATATTAGAATCGATTATGTTTGTTTTATTTTGAATAAAAGATACTCTGTCTGAATACTATAAAGTTGCGTTTCAATAATCATTCTCATTGGCAGGTGTAGCCCGTAAGAGTTAACTTGAGACCTGAGCGCCGTTGTGTACTACCTACTGCGCTCAGGTCTCAAGTTAACTCTTGCGGGTTATAGTAAAAGTCTCGTTTAGAATGAATGTTTAATCTTCGCTAATACGGCTCACAATAATAATTTAATTTGAAGTTACAGTGGTTTTTAAGTAGGTGAAAAAATGGGGGCGCTAAAAAATAACTTATTCTCAAAGTGGGCAGTAGACAAAATAAGTTTGGGAACCCCTGCCTTATACGGTACATTATTATATACTAGCGAGTCATTAAAAGAGTAAGAAGACTTAATTGAATTTTTAAAACACTAAAATATGTAGTGCCAGGACCTGTCACTGGTCCGCGAGTCTCGTCGTCTAGGGATATACGTAAGGAAATATACGTGAGTTTGGTTCAATCTGTACTGATTTATTATATTCCTGTATAGGGGTGGAGCTGCTAAAATCGTTTTCTTGAGTTGGAACGTGCGCAACGCAATTTGCTTACAATAATGTATATTTAAAAAAGTCGATTTGCCACTAGCAGTTTGTATCAACTATCAAATTTAGCCACTGTAAGGAAACTCTACATCACTCAAACTGTACTCAGACAACATAGGTCTCTAAAACATGATCTAAAAATTTCGAAGAAGAGAAGGAAAGACATTGTGGTATAAGTACCTAAAGTAAATACAACATTTGCAAACATACCATTCAGCAAACGATCGGCCCATTTGTACAGTTTATAAGGAATTAGATATATACGCTAAAAGTTATAGAGACTACAAGAAAGTTAATCAAAATGGCTACAGTCGAAATCGTATAAGGAAATCAAAGATCTATTAAAACACTTGCTTTAAAAACACTCCTCTCCTAATCTATCGCAACAGGTTAACACACACACACACATACACACACACACACACGCACACGCACACACAGACACACAGTCGAAATTTCAATTCCGCCATTTTCCAAGATGGCCGCCATACATGTAAATTTTCTGCTCTTTGGCGTCATTTTTCTCCCAGAAGAAGACCGGGTGGGTAAAAATGATGTAGGAGAAATATGGTCGCACTGGTGTAGTGAGTATGAGAACGTATCGAAACTTTCAAAATATGCTCCGCATCAGGTAGGACCCCAGCTGCCCTATGGCTTTCAAACAAAAATTGTCGAGGGCTCTGGCAGGTTCTACCGGGATCAAAAATTTCCCAATTTGGCGAATCCAAGATGGCCGCTGTACGAAATTGAGTTTGCTGAATCTCTGCAACTATCGATGATATACGGGTGGTGTCTTAAAAATATGACTTGATGCGATCGTACCAATACCCTAGTCCCTCCCACCTAATGTAACCTAACAAAACCAAATCCTGAAACAAAAACTATAACTAGCAAACAGTCACAAACCTAACATTAAGACATCGCGGGCCGCTTTAGGGGCCCAGCGCAACGCGCAACATACTATATGTGGGTAGCTCGATTACTACTGACTGATGTAGACATTTAGGTAATTGTTCTCCCAAAAGGTATAGAGATTGTTTAAAATGATTTACAGGAATAGTGGCCAGAAGGGGGATCAGGTGGGACAGAGGCTGTTCGCTTGATGAGCACATGGTTCTCGAATAAAAGTTATCAAGGACCTTGGTCAGGTTCTACCACAACCGAAAGTGTTCTGATATGACGAATTCAAGATGGCCGCCATACGAAATTGGCTATTCTGAATCTTCGCAGCTGTCAATGATATACGGCTGGTTTGTTGTGAGATATTTAAGGATACAACTTGACACGATCATACCAACTACCTCTACATATAACTAAACTGGAGCAGTCAATAACCCTGTTCCCTTCCATCCAAACTCAACCAAAGAGGATTCTCTACTGAAATATGAAGTCTAATACCCAACCTGTCACACGAGTCTCAAAGAAAGCCCTCGCGGGCCGCTTTAGCGCAACGCAGCGCGCGATCTAGTTATTTTTATATACATATATAAAGCTACAAATCCTGACTCACTTAGAAAAATTGAACGCATGCTTCCCGATATGGTGGAAAAAAGCTTTTTATACCGTTGTACGCGGATAGGCTCCAAAGCAAAGAATCAAATATGAGAAGACCTGAATGTGGAAAATGTAAACGAGTGATCAACGGCCTGCAAAAACTATAATACATGGGGGGGATTTTTGTGCACTTTTATAAGATACACCTTGGTCAATTTCCGCAGAAAGCAAAAATGTTTGAAATTCAAATAAACAAGATGGCCGCCATACAAATTTCGAAGCCTTCTATCACGGAAACTATTAGAGATAGGTAGGAGGTGCTGGAAGGAATATCATAGAGGGTAATAGTGGTCAACTGCCTGTGTAAAAAAATTCAAGATGGCCAATCCAAAATGGCGTACGAAGAAAAACTTGCCTCGATGCGGCTGAAAATTGGCACGCGGCATGTAGGGGAGATCCCCACATAGAGACTATGGCTGTTTAATAATAATTTGCGGTTAAAATTTACTTTTAGTCATTTTTCAACATGCCTGACTTACAAACTTTTTTAGCGAATGATAAAAATTTGCTCTAAATCCACTGAAAATCGGCATGTGGGGTTCTCCATGGGTGTTTAACAATAATTTGCAGTCAAAATTTACTTTTTGCCATTTGTCAATATGGCCGCCTTTTGTTAAATCTTTTAAAGTCGTACCGCGACCGTAGGCCGAGGTCCGTACGCTACCGTACTAGGTAGTATACGGAGACTAAATTACGAGCACAAGATTTCACGATTGTTCAAAATCTAAGGCATACTCCCCGTTGTAGTGGAAATAATATCTTAGGTATTTACTTATACAACTTACAGCGTTGTTGTATCTCGACCGTCTGTCTGTTAGATTATTTTGGAAGCTATGCCAAAAAGAGAAGTATTTAGGGAATAATTGCCAGACAATCACTCCAAATTTCTGGTCTCAAACTAGAGAATTTCCTACCTACTACCAGAGTAACGATAATTCTGAAGGTAATGCCCAGAATACCCTCACCAGAAAAAACTTTTTTTTTTTTTTCATAAATTGGCTCAAATCTGGACACCTCATCAAGCGGCCATAGTACTAATCACTGTACCACTGAAGAGCATAAGCACACCCATAATCTGCAACCGACCACGCGCCGCAGACGTATCAGAGTGGGGCAATTTGGAGTTGGGTAACGGAGCGCCAGAGCATGTTGGTGGATTTCATGAAAAAGAGGAATCTCTATACGATGAACACCTTTTTCAGGAAATCTCCAACTCGAAAATGGACCTGGATGAATCAAGACGGTAAAGTAAAAAATGAGCATGACTTTATCACATCGACGAAAAAACATATATTCAATGATGTCTCTGTGATCAACACCGTTAAAACAGAAAGTGATCACCGGTTGGTACGAGACACATTGAATATCAATGCCAGGCTTGAAAGATCACGACTAATAAAGTCTACACTCTGTCCAATAACTGCACAACTCCAAAACCCCGAGAGCTTTCAATTCGAACTTCAAAACCGCTTCGAAGCCCTCGAAAACAGCATAGATGTGGACGATCTAAATAACATGGTGGTGGATACTGTCCGTACGGTTGGGTAATAGCTTTTCAAAACCCACCGTACCAGAATGAAGAAACTCTCCGACAAAACACTCCAACACATGGAACAGAGACGTGAAATGAGGTTACAGAACTCAGAGGATGCAAGTCACTACAGGCGGCTAAATAGGCTGATATCGAAGTCTTTGACTAGCGACATATGCCAATTTAATACACTCTGTATTAAAAGCGGAATAAGGCTCCAAGGTGTTCCCGAGAGATTATACAGAAGACCGCGGAGTATAACCAGCCACTTTGCTTAGCGTTTGTGGACTATGAGAAGGCCTTTGATTCGATCGAGACCTGGACGGTGCTGCAGTTTCTCCAAAGGTGCCAAGTAGACTATAGGTATATCGAAGGTGTTAAGGTACTTATAATACAAAAACGCCACTATGTCAGTCCGATTACAGGATCAGAGCTCAAATGCTATCCAACTGCAACGAGGCATGAGACAGGGAGATATCTCCGAAACTGTTTACTGCTGCGTTGGAGGATATTTTCAAGTTTGTGGACTGGAAAGGGCTTAGCATCAACATCAACGACGAGTATTGAACACAAGTTCGATTTGCCGATGATATAGTTCTTATGGCTGAGACCTTGGGAGACTTGAACACAATACACGAAGATCTAAGTAGTGTTTCCCAAGGAGTGGGTGATGAACATGGACAAGACGAAGATCATGTCGAATGCCCATGTTGTACCCGCTCCAGTTAAAATTGGGAGCACTACACTCGAACTTGTTGACCATTACGTATACCTGGAACAGACAGTCCAGTTAGGTAAATCCAACTTTGAGAAAGAGATCTCTCGTCGAATCCAGCTCGGATCGGCAGCGTTCGGGAAATCACAAAAAATCCTCGCGTCCAAATGACCTCAGTGTAACAGTGTGTGTAGTGTCATTTGTACTGTTTTGTGGGCAATAAAGTTTATATGATAGTATTACACACCCGTTTTTCAACATTTACCGTGCCTTCGAGGTAAATCCTAAGATATACCAAGTGAGTGGTGGCAAAAGTTCGAAATGAACGATGATCACAGAACTGTTCGAACTTTTACCATTGAGAGATCTTAGGTTCTACTGGAAAATCTTAGAATTTACCGTAGTTCGGGCTTTTACAGTAACATATATAATTATTTATAAACTTTAATCCTGTTTCTAATCTTAGGTCGCCATGTTATACACCGTCTGGTAATTATTCTGAACCCACTCACCTCTAAGGTTGACTGGTAGAGATTGGCTAATGGCATTAAGTTCGCAATTTTGTGAACAATAAAGTTTAAGTAAATAAAAAATAATAGCCCTCAATGAGTCGTAGATGCCATTTCCATTGCTAACTTTTTTTAAAAGGGAAACTTCGTAATTTCTTTTGGTGGTAGGTACCTATTACATGTTTTACCATTGTATGTTTTGAAAATGAAATGTACAGTTTCTTGGTAGGACAATGGTAGAGTAGCCTAATTAATCGATTACTTAAAAAAAGGGTGTTATATAATTTACCTTTATTTATGGTTTGTTTGAAAAAACAAATATACGCGATTTAAATCCGGAAAAATAGTTTTATTTCCTATACCTTTATTTTATCAATGATTAGATAGCGTAATTTTTATTATTCCGTAATGACGAAAAATACAATAGTTAATAAAATAAAAGCAGCCAATAATTTACTAGGTGTATTAAATAAATGTTGTACGTGACTAATACCGACAATAAAACACCCTTTCTGAATAAAATTCTTTATTGAATAAATATGTTTAGATACGTAACAGACATTTGTAATATAACTAGCAGCAAGTCTAGATAGATAATTTACGTAAAACCCATTCATTCTCTTTTGAGAATTTGATGAATAGGTATTCACAACGATCGCCCGGAAATTATTACGTACCAAACCATGCATAAATCTTATAACTACTGAATATCGAATACACGAACAGCCCACATGAGAGAATATATTTAGTAGGCATAATGTAAACATTTAAAAAATTTCATTTGTTATCATTAATTACTTCATGACGTCATGTAAGCCTTCGTATTTAGATATTACTCCACGTTCATTTCACTTTATTAGAACTCTTTGGCTTTGTAGCACGCTTTCAATTCGATAGACAAAGGTATACACAGTCAAAATATTTTTTTCTTTTTTTGTAAATGTAGAATCACGGAATAGCCAAAGTGAGATCTGTTGTGGAAAGCGGACTGGTTCCCGCAACAAAAATTGAGATCCAAATGAAATAAATATCATTAAAAAAGTTTGTTACATTTTTTATAAGACGTATTTAAAAATAAAACCTAATATAAGTAATGTCACTTCAGGCGATACCCTGTATATTATAATTATAACACGTACCTACATTTCCACGCATTACTTACTCAAACACGTATCTTATAAATAGTGATTATTCAGGAGATGGCAAAAATTTCTATTTATTTTAGATGTTAATTTGAATACATTAATTTAAGAATAGGTAAAAGTCAGTGCGTGAATATGAAGGAAATTTGATGTTAAACCATCCTGCAAATATGTATACACAATGCATTTTTAGCATTTCAGTTACTTTGTTTTTAAGATACGAGTTTGAAAAAGTAAGGCGACGATTTGTTACATTTTGTTTTAGAAAATGTTGTGTTTTCAGAATGATACGATGGAGAAACTTAACTACTTATATAAATTGAGCAAAAAAAAAACTTCAAGGAAAGGACGTACCTCTAACTTCATGTCATAGATATTAGCAGACCGACCGAGAATATAAAAATCGAGCATATAAAACGGCTGAAATTAAGTAAATGCAGTTTAATATTTCGTGACGTTACAAAATATAATTTAATTCACTCATACATTATTATTTATTAATTACACACAATATTGTAATAACATTCACCGTTTATGATAAATGATCGTCAGTTATTTTATACACATGAAAATTGGAAAAATAATGTAGTTTCAAATATTCTTGCTAAGCTGCAATAAATAAAAATAACTTCAATATTATCTAATACGATACCTAGTGCATTACAATACCTCTCACATTCAGTATTTAACATTATTACAGATTGTAATGAAACAACTTCACTGATGTTTTCGACTATAATAGTTACAATAGTTAATATTATATCATTGGATTGTATTTTATTAGGACGAAATTATTATTTTATAAGTATATTTTATAACTACAGTGAACGTGTTACGCATATTTTTATTAAAAAACACTCAATATAAAACATTTAAAATAGTAGTAAAGAATCACATGTTTTTATCTACTTTTTCTATAAAAAATTTAATAGTATCCTGATTTACTAATAAAATTACAGATGAGCGACTTTTGAGTCTTGAGGCGTATGTACACTGGTGTAACCATCATTGTCGCTGAAACAAATTTAGTTTTTTTACATATTGGCAGAAACAAATAATATGTACTATTAATATGGTACTATTTTGAAACTTGTAGTGTCATCACCAAATAATTATGTTTACAAGCAAGCATTCCACCCAGTTCCGCCCCTTAATCTTTATATTGTTGAAAAATCGTTTGTTTATACAGCAATTTCATTCTTGGAAATCGTAGTCGACGAGCTTTAGATCGCAAAATTGTGAGGGGCGTTGCCACTGCACCCGTCACCATGAGATATAAGTTGACATACCTCATGTGCCTGTAATTTCACCAGCACCCTCAACCCTTCAAAACCAAAACGCAGTAATGCTCACATTACCGCTTCGCGACAGAAATGGGTAAGGTAGGTAAGCAGTAATTCCGTGGACGAATTGTTTCATAAGGAGCTTCTACTGCTTGCTACTAAGGCTTTTATTGATTGACAAGAACATGCAAGTGTTCCGTACTGCTCGCTGTTGCCTAAGCAAAAAAACAACACTTAAGGTGGTCATGCGTTTAACTTTACTGGTGGTAAGAGAAAAAGAAATTCATTTTTAAACGTGTTGTCTAGCAATAACGCAAGATAGAAAAATCATTCCCCCTAATACATTTTGGTCAGCTAGTTTTGCTGCATTAAGTCCTGTAAGTACCGTTGCCAAAGTCCACCATGCTTACACAACGTGGTTTTGGAACTTTATTTTTTATAAAAAATAAGTGCTCATTTGACCTCCTTCTCACCTGATGGAAAGTGATGATGAGGTCGACGATGTAGCATGCACACCTAAGTAATGTCTATTCATTCTCGCCTTGAAAAGGTCAAAGTTATAGCGTTCGGGGAATAAGTTCGCAGGTAGGGAATTCCACTCTCTAGCCGCTCGACATATAAACGTGTAAGCGAAGCGCCTCGTGCAAATCCTGGGAATGTCCACAACATACACATACACTCTCCCCTGCGGCAAACTTCTACGATTACCTCACAGTATTCTGAACTGCTTATGTTTCGAAAAGACTATGGGGTGTTGCTGAAAAAGATGACCATCTTGAGAATACTATGTACAGTCCAGAGCGCATACAGCTTGACAATGGACCGTTTTATCATACCCGGCACAGATTTAAAGCTTGAGTGTCAAAAGCTTGACGTGGATGTACAGGGTCACGCAGTACAATAAACAAAACGAGAATCAAGTTCTACCTTAAGAAAGTAAAAACGTTACCTGCTGTTATGCATGACCCTCGCAAAATGAATCTTGTGGGCGATGTAAATTATAGCAAAAACCACTAGTCCAGCGAAGAATGATAATCCAAGAACGGCGGGGAACTGAAACAAGATCTAAAATTAAAATTAATAGTACAACACAGACCTTCATGACGACAAAAATGTAAATTATAATTATTATTAGCTACTTTTGCCAGTTTCGTGTATCGGTTATTCCTAAAATACTAACAACTTAGCAGGACTAGATTACTAACTTCATAAACAACAACTTTTGTTCCCTGACTTTTAACAAAACATATGATGACTAATTTTCAATATCTTAAATTTTAAGGTCTTAAATAGGATTGTCGATAATCGCCTTAGCAGCTGTACAAAATTAGACGACACTCAGTTTGGTTTTCGGGATGGTACGTCAACAGAAAGTGCTATACTGGCACTAAAATGCACTGCAGACTATTATTAAAAAGGAAGACACCTAGCTTCTAAGGCTGCTAACTGCAAATATGAAGTCAATCTGTTAGCAGCTTACGACTTATAAAGAGTAACGATATCTAGCCTCAATTAATAAACTGATGTCCATCCTGAAGTTGTAGGCGTGGTGTCACATTGGCATAACAGTCAGAAAAATGTTGTCAAATGGGCGAATTCCTTTTCTAGCGAATACACGCTGAAATGTGGTGTGAGGCAGGGTAGATTGAGTTCTCCTAGACTTTTCAGCATATGTGAATCAGCAGATCATTGAGCTCAGGAGCGCAAATGTTGGCTGTCGAATAGACAATATTAGTGCTAATAATATCAGTTATGCTGATGATATGGTGCTGCTGAGTCCATCAATCAGTGGTCACAGAAAGATGCTGAATGTATGTGAAACTTATGCCGTAAGCCATTCATGTGTTTAATTATAAAGGCCTAAATAACATTCCACCGCTTCTTTTGCATGGTGTACCGTCGAATCGTCTTCCTTGATGCTCTTGGTTTAAGTACCTAGGACACATTGCTAGTGAAAATCTGATGATGATTTTGAGTGGGAGCGCAAGGCGTTGTCGGTGCGCGATAACATGTTGGCTCAGAGTTGCTCCGTAAATGTAAAATACTAACAAATATGGACTAATCGGTCTCTTCACATGGAACCACCAATATGGAATCTGTTCCCAGCAGTGTTTTAATGCGCTGACCAGTTCCTGACGACTGTGGATGGAGGTATAGTTGTCTTTGAGGCGTTGTTTGAACTGATCCCATAAATGCTTAAATAAATTTAAGTCGGGACTCATGGACGGCCATGGTAAAACATTGATATTCGCGTCTGTAATTACACCTTGAGTAGTACGGGCCGCATGAGAACGCGCGTTATCTTGCATTTAGATGAAGTCTTGGGCAACGCGCAGTGAATATGCAATCACGTGAGCCTGGATGACCTGTTGGACGTAACTGGCGGCGTTCAAGTTATCCCCGTCCAAGAATACCAGTTTCGTTTTACCCATTAGACTGATTTCGCCCCACACCATATTACTGGACCCACCAAAGCAGTCAGTTTCTCGAATGCAACAATCCAAAAACCGTACTCCTGGTTTCCTCCAGACACAGACCCGTCTGTCATCACATCACTGTATAATTTAACTACATAGATTCATCTGTAGAGAACACTGTCCTCCAGTTCTCCATGGTCTAGTCGAGATGTTCGCGTGCAAACTTTAAAACGCGCTCCACGATGTGCCCTGGTCAATTTCGGTCTCACAGTACTCGGTCTGCAGCGTTGTTGGTCTCCGTGGAGCCTATTTGGAATGGTTTGATCGCTCACTCTGGTACCAATAGCTTCATAGCTTCGGTTTTGTAAGGTAAGCGCAGTTATGGTGCGCTCTCGGCCTGCAGTAATTCGAATGTACGTACCAATCTTCATAGGAGGTAGCAGCCCGAGTTTTTCCACTTTGCCTCCTAGCACCGCTACCTGTTTGTACACCACTTATAATACCCTCAAAGTTAACATTCCAAACGTAAAACAATAATTATGTAAACATATGCACTTGAAGACAACTCATTTCAAATTAAAAAAGGGCAGAAAAAAATATTACGATAAAATTCTCGAAAAAATTCGACTTTATCCTAAATTGTTTTGAGTAGTTTAGTTTAAGATATAGTTGTAATAAACAAGCCATCTACTTCCAGACACAATATGAGAACATTGAACTAAAATATACTAACACAGCTCCGTGACGTATATTCTATTTACATTGTGGATAGATACATAATACGATCACTATTCAATTAATCAATTTTGAATACATTCAATTGATAAATTAAAGTTATAAATCCTGAAAGTTAAATAAAGAAAACGTACAAAGGTATTATTTACAAGTGCCGAAAATCCTAGATAGTTCCTCAAAATATGACAATAATAATGAACATTGAGAAAGTTTTAAATTATGCTGCAATTACCTGTTTTCCGCATTCATAGTCAAAGTCGACAGTCAGAAGATTTTCATACAATTTTGTGAATATTTCCATAGGACATGTTTGACCACAATGAGGAATATCCAATACATTGGGTTCCACAATTTCAGGTGTGTTTCTATACAAGATCCTGATACAAGGAGCCATTGTGTTATCTGTAAAATTGGTATTTAATATGTTTTAGAGATCAACGTCTACGTAACGAGTGGTTCCATATGCAACACAATCTATGGTTCTTTTTTACATAATAACGTTATGTAATAGGTTACATAACACGATACATACCATATAAAAGCTCCATAATAATAGTAGACGTGTAATCAGGACAGTTGCCATCAAACATGCCTAGAGCAGTTAGAATGGTGCCAATGGTAAAGTCGTGGCCGCTATACATTGTCATATTTAATAGCTTATTTTTATTTTTAACGTGACGCTTCATGTTAGTTACTATTTCTTTTAGCAAAGGTCCAGCTCTCAAACGCGCTAATAGCGGTGTAGCCGCTGAGGTTGTGAAACTGAAATAGTTTTATTCAACATTAGCACTCTACCGGTCTTATACAATTACATGAAGACGCTGACATTACTGGGGCTTGAGCGATATAAGTATACTGCCGTCCACTAACTAAAACGCGACTAAGTGACAAATGATGAAATATTCGCTTTTAATAGCAAAAAATAAAGCACAAAATTCTCTTTTAAAAACAGTTAAAATTAGTTAACGTGTTCGTCTTATCGGAACTTACCCTAACAACGCATAGCTCAAATATCATTAAACAATTTCAATATTCTGAAATAGCGTTATGGTTTTTTATGATATCTCGAAGAAATATTTTGTCGCTTAGCCGCGTTTTAGTTAGGGAACGGCAGTATGATCCTAAGGACGCGTTCCCATTATGTCGCATGTCGTAACGTTTTATTTACCGTTGGACGACTGTCGCGTCTAGCCTGTTCCCATATCACGACGTCTGTCGTGACTGTGCCGTGGACGTTTATTTTATTATTGAACGATTGTCGTGTCTAGCTGTTCCCACTAGATCGTGACAATTTATCGGTTCAAGGTAGCCGCCTTGTCATTCGCACGACAGACTGTCGTCACATTTTTATCGTAACGTTTCATTTAAAGTCTGTCGTCGTAAGGTCAAAAAGCCGTGAAAAACAGTTAATCGTGTTATTCTAGGTGTGAACAACTTTTTTTTAAATATACAGGCCACGACACTTTAAATTAAACGACTAGCTGTCGTCACGACATAATGGGGATGTGTTCTAAGCCGTGTTATCACATGGTTTTCACAGAAAAGCTAAATCTTATAAAATAGCCGTGTTGTCACATAGCGGCGCTAAAGCAATGAATTGACTACAAAAATACAATGAAGACCAATAAGTCCATGATGTAAAATCTAATAAGTACACTTTATTTTATTGTGAATCTATAGGGAACAATAGTTTACTTGATCTATACCTGAAGAGGCCCAGTATTCATTCCAGCCCTAATTCTACTAGAACATTTACTAAAACTACTCGGTTATAGTAAATAATTCAATGAGTTTATTTAACTTTATGTATTGTATGTATGTATGTATTGAAGATATAGAACATAATATACAACTAATACATTTCAATGTTTATCCATGACATTCTATTATTTATTACCTATCTCTGATTCCAATTTGTTTCAATGTGTTTAGCACTAGCTAGCATTGTTTAGTGTATACCTACCTATAGCATGCCGGTTCTCTCATTACACCAGGAAAAACTTTATGTGTCCAATTAGGCAGAGAGAAGTTATATAAAGTTTCTATGTGAAGGCTGCTATATATGTCTTCTATATCATAATAGTCACTTATCTTCCTCCCTGTGTATGATGTTAGGTAACTGTAAATAAAAATTTACATAAAATCGCATATGAAAATACTGTAGGTAGAATTCATAATTACTGCTGGTAATAGAAAACAAACATACATTTTATAATTGGTAAGTATTCTAAATAAGGATTTGCTTATAAATTGAAATCTAATACTATTCTAAATATGTACATAGATAATTTGAACACTTACTCCATTAGGTGTTGGTACTGGCTTAGCCTTTGTTTGTAAGCCTTTGATTGGACTACCTTTTCCTTTTCTTTGTTGTAGGATACACAATTTTTTTTCATTGCTAATACCGCGTCGTCTTTTTCAGGTATTGTGTGTACAGGTATGGGTTGCCACATAAGAGCCTCATTCCAAATTGCTCTGCCAGTCGGAGGATACATTCCTGCAAACATATTATGCAACTGCAAAAGTGCTTACATTGAATTAAAAATCCAAGATGATGTAAAATAAATATATTTAATGAGCTATACCTGCTAAGTTAGCTTGAGCAGACATGAGTGTGCGATCTACATCAGTGGATTGAACATAAATTTCCGCTGGATCGAATTCACTTGATAATAGGTGCTAAAATTAACAAAAGATATAGTGATAATGTGATTTAAGGAATTCACTAGCTCAGTTAAATGACAATGTATGAATTGTATGTTATCCGCAATTTTGTTTTTCTTTGCCCTAGATCCATAGGTTCCCAAACTTTTTGACTCACCCACTTTGGCGAGATAAAAAAATTCTATGTCCACCACCATAAAAAACAATTGAAAACGCGTATTGTGTGTGTAGTGTAGTTTAATAACACCTGGATACCATCAATGCCCCCAATTGCTTCCGAGGCCCCTACCGGGTGGTACGACCCTAGAACTCTTCAGCGCCCACAGTAGTGCCCACTTTGGGAAACTATGTCCTAGATGGATTGTTTGTAATATACAAAATTGTTTCAAGCTTTGTATGTACCATTGTCAGACATTCTAGATTTCATTAAAATAGACCTTAATGAAAAATATGAACACAAGCACCAGGGTTTGCCACACAGCTATAAATAATTCTCACAGCAAACTTGTAAAATTCGTGTGCTACAGTAAAATATGTACACATGTAATATTTCATTTGAAATCACTGGATTAATAGTGTATAGTGCCAGTACTGCAGCATATTTCTTTTACAGCACGGTAAAATGACTTACAACCCATATTAATTGTGGGTTTATTTTAATTCAACAGACCTTTGACTGCATTGTTATGTACATAGATACTGGATCAGTACTCCAGTTAATGATGGTATATGAAGATAAAAATTAGTAGGCATAAATATAAACATTGAGATTTCAGATTTTTGTACTGTTGTGTACAAGGCTACTTTTTTCTTATCCTTCTTACACAAAAAGATATTCTAGTGTGTGTCTAATGAGTGTCTGAGAACTCTTGTACATCTGGCAACCCAAACATCTATAAGATATCACAAGTTAAAAGTACTTTAATTTAAAACAACTCTAGGAATTTTATACAAAGTATAGGACATCTCTGTACATTAGGTACATAAATATCTTAATATTGGGTGGGAATTAACAGTCAAACCCCCACACAACACCAGAGTGTCTGAGTTGAACAAAAACTTGTTTATGAGTAGACAAATAGGTTACACTTACAGTAATTAACAAGGTAGATGATAACAATTTAAAAAATGCGACTTAATGAGCTGAGGCAATTTGACCTAAATGAAGAATAATATATCTAGAATCCGCAAACTTAAGCATGTTATGCAATGCAATATGCAATAAAATAAACAAACAAAGTTTGTTGTTTTGCATTGCTTATAATGTTGGAAGATGTGAAGAGAAATGATAAAGTTGAAAAAATGCCACTGGAATTTAAATTGAAAGGAAATAAATTTGACTTTTGCTTTAGTGTGTAGACCAAACAAATAACAACACAAGTAACAAATTGAAGACACTTGAAATTAAGCAAATGTTAGATTTTTTGACCAACAAGCACTACATTCGACATCTTTTTAAAAATTAAATTCTAATAATCTTTAGGACACAATTTTCTATTATAGCAACACGTTTTTTATTGGTAAGGTCAATTTACTACTGGGTGTTCATTACTTACTCGAGATTTAGAGAAATTCTTGTTTAGGTTTTTTTAGTAATAATTACAATAGCTTTTTTCTATGCTGAAACATACTATCATTTTTCTTGAGGATTATATCTGCCAAATAAACTAATAACTATTGCTATGTTTAAAAAAAATTTCAAAAATATAGACAACTTCCACAGACACATAAAAAGTCATTCATTGGTGCCATCACCCTATGTTATTGTGAACAAAGGAATCTGTAACCACACGGGCAATTTATTCTATTGATAATGAATAATTAATTATTACAGCTCTATTGTATTTTCATTGAGAGCATGATTGCAAAATTGCCACGACAACACACGACTCGACCAATAAATAAGAATTCTAAAGTAATGTTCTCTCATAAAGTTGTTTTAGTGAGAATAGTCCAAAACGGAATTATCCTGGGTGTACTATTTTAATTCAAAATTAGAATTCAACTTACGGAATAACGTTTTCTTATCCACTGACCCAACGCGTAGTGCTGCATTTTGCCGATGTTAGTCAGTTCGCCGAATTTTACCGGCCAAAGCGACTCATTGCGCCAAGGGTCAGTAGGATACGTATCCACCGGTGTCCTATCGCCGTGTCGATAGATAATTGCAACGTACTTCACCGCCTCTTCAGCGAAACACACAGAAAATGTCAATATCATCAACAAAATTATTTTAAAAGTGAAAGGTTTATAAGTTACACCAAATTGTCTTCTCATTTTAATGAACTATCAGCAATTTTTTTGTTGTATACGAAACTTCAATATCAAATAAAAAAATAGAAAATAACTTCAACAACAAACAGCAGAAAACGTCTGATACGTAGTACCTATTTCTTTTTTTTTTCTTTTTTTTTTTTTTTTTGGGTATTTGGCTTCTGTCCCACTGAGGACAATTCTGCCAGTGTCCGGGTTGAAAGATACACGGTATATTTATCAAGATTCACTCAAACTTCAAACAATTTGTGAAAATTGTGAATGTCTATTGAGTCATTATCTGTGTCAATTTCAAAGAGTAGAATTTTTAGTACTACTCTACTCTACGCTTGGTCCATGCTGCGTTCTCACATTCGTGCGATAGGCGATGCGAATAGCGATGCGATGCACGACACGCATGTGTAAACGGTCACTTCGCTGTTCGCGTCGCGACTCGAATCGAGCGTAGTGACGCACGAGTAGCGTCGCGAAGTTAGATACGAGTGGCGACGCGAAGTAACTTTTTTCTTTCTTATTTCCAGGTACTATGGCGTCCAGCCTTTGGCCATATGCAATTCTGTTTCAGTTGCCAATTTTTGATAATTCTTCCAATACTCTCTTCCTTCTTGAGACTTCAGGATATCATTGTCGTCGCAGTTGTTGTTGTTGATGTGGGGCTTTGGATATTAATAGGAATTTAAAAACGGGGCAAGGAGATCGCGGATTAAAATTTAAAATTTGACGATTGCTTCGACGAAGCATTCGTCGAAACAATCGACGATAGTGTAAGCGCGGTGTTAGAAACCATAGTCTTTTTTTTCTCATATTTTGGCACTATGGCGTCCAGCCTTTGGCCATATGCAATTTCCATTGATTTGGCAATTTTTGATAATTCTTCCAAATAAATATTTTCTTCCTTCTTGAGACTTCCGGATATTATTGTCGTCGCAGTTGTTGTTGTGGAACTGTAATTTGGGTTTTTGAGGTCCAATCATTTAACTTTTTACAGGTCGTCGAATTCTAATTCTTTACTGATGTTCCAAATTTCCAATGCGTTTCCGATTCGATGTTTATACCAACCGATTTTATTTACGCAGAAGTTTTAATCGTAAATTTGAGCGGGTTCAAAAAAGAAGATATTGTCAGATTGGAATTGCAATTGAATTGGAATTCAGTGATGTTGCGTTTGCAAGTTTGTGTATTCGAAAATGAATAACACTGCGTTACAAATTAGAAAAAAGTACCCTTTTGAAATCCCTATGTTTTTTATTTGTCATGTATTAATAGCAATATACGTATTTTTTTGTAACACGTATAATTTTGTAGGTACGGCTATTATTAAAATAACTGAAAAGTAAATACCCAGTAATACGTTGTACTTTAAAAAAATTATCTACAATCATACGATATCAATTCTAACTGATATATTGCAGCTTATACATAAAATATAAGGTTAAAATCAAATATTGTACACAAAATAAAGGTTTTCACAGGTTTTCTTTAACTTACGTTCGAATTCAGCAGGAATCACTTACTTAGCGACATTCTTAGGCCCCTCAAACCATTCCTCAATCCTTTCTACATCCTAGTGAAACCTCTTTCTCTGTTCGTCCCTAAAGAGTCGCAAGATTCTTATAGGTAAAAAGAGAAACGAGAATTGAGAAAAGTATTATTTAACGTTTTTTCGCATTCCGTATCCATGTTCATTGTCCATGCGTGTAGCAAATTATTCACTAACAATGCCACATATTTGTCATTACTCCGATTACCCAAAAAGACGTTTACGACAGCCCTCAGTGACGTCCATGATAATTATGATAAGAATAATGTGCTAGATAACCACACCAACGAACGGCCTGGTCTTAAACTAGGCAATTCCCTATAGTAGAGTACTAGACATAGAACACCCTGACAGCAACCAATTTACAAAAATTAGTTTTTTAAATTGTTTCTACCGAGAATGGAACCCTAAGCCTGCTCATCCAGCACCCACAATGTAAGCCGTTGGGTCATCATAGTCGTCTCGTAATCAGTGTAGTAACTACTGCGTTCACGCCACAGTATCGGTAACTCCAATGAGCATGAATATTTTATTTCTATTCTGCCAAGATAAAAGAGTAATATAGTACATACGCAAAACAGTTACGGGATCTAGGACTTATCTTGATGCACTATACGTCTAAAATATAGGGTATACGCATTACGTATTTTTTCGGATACGTTCACTCCTTGCGACTTGGTAATGTACTGTCCACACACATAACAAAGCTTAGTTTTAAAAATTTTTGTACCAAAGACGACCACTTTTCGGCATTCATCTTGTAAAACAAAAAGAAATGGAGCTGTTCTCTATCACAAATTTGGCAATTGCGATAAAACTGTTGCATACGCTTTACGAGAATTTAATCAATCGGAATCTAAGTACACGGTAATAGACTGAGAGGCGTAGGCAATATTTTTCGGTACTAAAAAGTTTTAAATTCACACTTGTTACTGACCACAAACCATTGATACAATTGCTAAGCACTCAAAGTAACTTACCAAAACTGGTTAACATTCGCCTTAACCGTTGGGGACTATTAAAAGGAAGTTATATTTTGATATGTTTTTACAAAAGGACAGAATAATGTTGCTGCTGATTGCCTGTCACGGATGCCGAACCCGGAAGAGAAATCACGTGATGTTGAACGTCCTGTACACAGGATCGTGAATGGTCTACTTAACCTTCTTAACTCAGATTTAACCCTCTCAGAGAAGATTTTAAGAGATGAAACAAAAAAGATTAATATTATTCTGACACAAGTCTTAAATAACATTAAACCCGGCTCTCAAATAACATTAACATTAAAACTCAAACTTGTTCAAATGCTTTAAAGCGTTTGCTAGAAAACAAAATGAATTATCCTTGGAACTCAAAATTGTAATGTGGCAGGGCAGAATAGTAGTTTCTGAATCTCTTATGCCAAATATTGTGAAGTATCTTTATTTGAGATATCCTGGTATAATAATTATGAAAGCATTAGTACATTTTTACGTGTGGTGACCTTCGAGTGATGAAGACATCGACATTTTAGTTAAACAATGTAAAACTTGCCAAAATAACAGGCCACATTGTTCCGAACTACGTGCTTGTGCATGGTCGGTTACAGATAGAGCTTGTAAGCGATTACGTTTAGATTTTGCTGGCCCATTTGAAAACATTGGCTTATCGCACCTCTAAATGATCTAAATGGATAGAAATTAAAGCGATGGTTAGGACGACGACTCAACTTTTGTGTAGAAAACTTGACAGCATTTTTACAACATTTGGTTATCCCCATATAATTGTGTCAGATAATGGCCCCCAGTTCACATCAAATGAATTCCAAACTTTCTGTACAAAGAAGGGAATTAATCACATTAAGTCGACCTCGTATCACCCTCAAATAAATGGATTGGCGGAACGCCTTGCTTGGAATTTTAAAAACAGTCTTAATTCTTATTCACGTATCGGAACACTCAAGACCTGCAACACAGAGATAGCTCATCCACCCACACCGTTCTACGCCGCAGCAAGCGCACAGTGTAATCGCCTCCGCCGCGCCGTTTTATTGAAGAGATGTAGGTAGGGAAATTGTAATGTTCTTCTATGTTCATTTTGATTGTCGGTTATTAAAAGTAAAGCTGTGACTGAAATATGAAATGTAACGCCTTATAACATTTTTAGACAACACGTCAATCATATTAATCATCACTTAGGAATATCGAAACACAACATAAAAAGCTCCGACGCGAGTGGCGTGCTTTAGGTATTGTATCAGTATGGTGGGGCTTCCGATATCCTGCCCACCATCGACTATTCTAAAGTCGAGTCCGAAGAGTTTTTACCTCCTTCTAACAACAATTTGAACAATCTACTCGAATCGAATCAAATTGCTGTATATTGCTACGTAGGTCAATGATTGCTACACAAAGTTTGGTACAGGGTCAAGAGCACGTCAAGCTTTACACTTAAGACTCAAATCCAACTCTATGCCGCTTATGATAAGAACAGTCCAAACACAGACATACTTCTAGATAGACGCCGCAAGTGTACATACTTCGCGTGCCCAAAGTAAGTGAAATTTACTTAGTTGCCGCTGTTACAATTTAGAACGCGCTCGAGCGTTATCGTAGATAAACACCAGTCAAAAACGCGAAAAATGCATACTTGTGCCATTATAAACAGCAAAAGCACCATAACTGTGGGTAAATGGGTAAACAGGGACGTTTCCTTCTACGGGCAAGTGATTTTGTAATCAAAAGATGCATAATTTATTTTAAAAATAGTTATTTTGGTTTTGTATGAATTTCGAGAAAACAAATATGCAACCAAGCGTATGCCTTATGTTTGTAATACATTGCGGCTTTTAGTTGGTGCGATATGTTTATGATCCTTTGTTAATACGCCATGAATATCGAACGAACGCACTTTTGCATAATGCATTCAGTTTCGTGGTAAATTTAACGTTTGGTACGATGTATACGTTAGGCAACACTGTTCTCTATTCTGATCGATTTTGAAAACAAAGGACGAAAATTATTATGACCTTAGCAATATTCTATAACTCTTTTGTTATAACGTTTAGTAACGTGTCGTTTTTTTTCAGTTTTTTAGTATCTATTATCAGTAGTATCTGTACTTTCGATAATTTTAGCAGCACGTTGCCTCGAATGTACGAATACATCGAATGTACATCGCCGGATATGTAGTACGAGTAATACAAAAAAAATGCATAGAATTAACAATGCACTGTCTTCACAAAAACCTGGAGTTGGTCCTATGTATGAGTTCGTTGCTTTCGAGGACGAAAGTGGTTTAGTTTATCCCTTCTAAGATGCTAAATATCCAAATATGCAGAGTAGCAGAGTTAGAAATCCGAGAAACAATAAAGAAATCACAAAAATTTCACACGAGGCCATCATTAAGTAAACCTCTTCTGATTAATAAGATTTTACCATATTTTGTCAGCAGTAACATTTTCATTTGTCTCCATCAATTTGATCAATTACCAACAGAAAACCATAACAACCAGGTCATATATTGACGTGGACATGCGTTTTCATTATTTAAGTTAATCGATAAGATCTTCTATTGCAAAAAGATGTTATATAATAAGCC